ATGCTACTTTTGATGATAATTATTTCCTTTTTCCTGTTGGCAGTACTGGGGTTTGAACTCTCTGGGCCTCATGCTTGCTAGCAGGCGCTGTATCACTGAGCCACTCCAGCAGCCCTTCATTTCCTTGTTTTGTGTGGGTCTGAGCATGCGTCCTACCATTTGAGCCACCCCCTTTTTTTTGGCAGCACTGGGGCTTGAACTCAGGGTTTCACACGAGGCATGGGCTCTAGCGCTTTAGCCCTCCCTCTAGCCTTTTTTTCTCTGGTTATTTTGGAGATAGGGTCTTGCTTTTTGTCCAGGTGGGCCTGGACCTCAATCCTCCTATTTTATGCTTTCTGAAGTAGCTGGTATGAAAGATGGGGGTCTCATGAACTTTTTGCCCAGGCTGGCCTGGAACTGTGATTCTCCCAATCTCAACCTCTCAAGTAGTTAGAATTATAGAGGTGAGCCACCAGTGCCTGGCTATCCAGCCCTTTTGTTTTCGTATTTTGTTTCTGAGATAGGGTCTTGATAACTATTGCCCTGGCTGGACTCAAACTTGAGGTCATCCTGTAACCTCTTACAGGAGCCACATAGCTGTTTTCCTTGTTTACTTTATTGCTTCACTGCCTATTTAGCTTTTCCTTATAGAGCTTTAGGTCCTTGCACGTGGCTTCTTTCACATCTTCCTCCCTTTCCTCAATATTGTAATTTCCTGTTGTGAGAAGCTGAAATTCATTGTTTTTCTTGATGTGATGTTCCATTGCAAATACACTGCAATTAACCCATCGGGTCTGTGGTTGGTAAGCATTGAGTTATTTCCATTTTGGTGTTGTTCGTGTTTTCTGAACTCCTCTAAAACTGTATCTGGATTTTTTTTTTTTTTTTTTTTACTTTTTGCAGTACTGGGGTTTGAATTCAGGGCCTCACACTTACTAGACAGGTAGTCTATCACTTGAGCTACTCTGCCATCACTGGATGCATTTCTTCATGCTCAATATATAGTTTATATACCTAGTTGTAGAACTTCTAGTCAAAGGGTATAGCTATTAGTAATTTTAGTAATGTTTTCTTACTATTTATTCTTAGTAAACATTAGTAGTACAAGGGGATTTCACTGTGGTAATATACAATACTTTAGTAACTATTTTCAATTGTGTTCTAGAAAGGTTATACCAGCTTGCATTCCCATAAGTACTCCTATCACTGTGTGTGTTTCTTGCTACTTCATGTTCTACACTCCACCCTGACATGAAAAAACACTAAAATAGCTAAGTGGTCAGAAGGTAATGGTGCAAAAATATACAGAATGAAAAGTAAAAACCTTTTCCCCAAAGGTTAACACTACAACAATTTCATAAGTATTCTTCCATAAAAAACAGAAAAAATGAACAATTACTTTAAGTATTTAAAATTTTTTTTTATTCATCTTTTGTTTTTGTGATATTGGAGATTGAATTCAGGGGCTTCCACTCATTAGGCAAGTAGCCCTACCATTTGAGCCACACCTCTGGTCCTAAAATTTTTTGTTTAATTAACTTACTTGAGACTATCTCAAATAAGTTAATTAAATAAGGTAAGACTGTGTTGCCCAAGCTGGTCTCAAACTAAGGGCTCAAGAAATCCTCCTTCTTAAGCTTCCTGAATACTTGGGACCACAGGTGCACACTATAGCCAGCTGTTTATTCTTTTCCTGGGCTGGGAGTGTGGCTCAGTGTTAGAGCACTTGACTAGTTCTTGTGAGGTCCTGGGCTAGATCCCCAGGACTGCAAATAAGTTTTTTTTTTTTTCAATGAGTTATGAATGTATTTGCTGTTGGCAAGTAAATCAATTATAAATGGTCCCTCTTCTAGGATGGTCAAATTATGCCTTGTTGACGTTGTAATGGTGCAAAATGATGTGCATTCGTAGAAGCCATACTTATATGTTGTATGATTCCCTCTCGTGACGCTGGGCAGACACAGTGAGCCACGGTTACGTCAGCCACACGATCACAGATCACAAGGTCAAACAGCTGACTGTGTACAGTGTACTGTGCTGCCAGCATCTTGGGAGATCACCTGGATTGAGTAAATGACGTGAAATATTCAACACTTTACTATAAAACAGGCTTTGCACTTGGGGGTTTTGCCTAACTTCAAGGCTAATGTAAGTATGTTGAGACTATTCAATGTGTTCAGGAAGTTAGATATACTGAATTTATTTTTGACTTAGGATGTTTTCAGTTTATGATTGGCTTATTGGGATGTAGTGCTATCACAAGTGGAAGAGCATCTGTACCTCAATTGTTCATGAATTGTTTTATTGAGTACACACTATGTACTAGGCACCCCTCCAGGATCCTGGCATGTATCAGTGAATAAAATAATAAAAAAATTTCTGTCCATGTATTCTACTTGGGAGAAACATAATTAAGTAGATGGTAAAGTATTGTTAAGTGATGTGCTAAGAAGAAAAATGAGAGAGAACAGGGAGTACTGAGTGAGCATGGGGAAACTGCTTCTTTAGAAGGTGATATTTGCCTGGAAAGAGTGGTCCAGGCAGAGGGAGGAGCATATGCAAAAGCCCTGAGGCATGCATATTTAAGGACTACTAGGGAGACCAGAGTGGCTGGAGGGACAGATGAGGCCACAAGCATGGGTGTTCTTGTTACCACAGCAGCAACAAGAAATCAGATCCTAGATCTATTTTGAATGCAGAGCCTGTAGGATTTACTAATGGTTTGGATGAGGGGTGTGAAAGAAAGAAGGGAGTCAAGGATGACTCCCTAGTTCTTAGCTTGGGCCAGTGGAAGGAAATGCAATAGGGGAGGACTGGAGAGGAGAAAGCTCAGGGAGGTCAGGACCAGGTAAGTGTGAGGTGCCTCACATGCAGACCAAGTGGAAGTCAGTGCCGGCAAGAGGGCATAGGGGTATGGAATTTCAGAAGAAACCAGGCTGGTTAGAGCTGTGTACTACATAGAGGAGCCAGGGCCTAACCTGGAGAGTCCAAGCTGGAGGTCTCCAAAGTCTTGAGAGGAGCATGAGGAGGAGACACAGCAGAACAGGCAGCAGCATGGCCAGTGAGGAGGGAGGAAGGAGTGCACGGTGATGGTGGTGGTATCCTAGAGTTGAGGGAGAAGCTTCCAGAGAGGGGTCTCATTGGCTATGGGACACCAAGTCCAGGAAGATGACTCTGATGAGGGGATTCCTGGCTTATCGACAGGAAAGAATAGGGACCCCTGATGAGTGGACTGGCAGAGAAAATCCAAAACAGATAGGTTGAAAAACAAATGGGAGGAAGGGAGGACAGTGGCTGGATATTGAAGCAGCTCTTTTGAGACATTTCCTGAAAAGTGAGGGACAGAAATGGCCCAGTAGCTTGAGGAAAAAGTAGAAAACAACCTGAAAAGAGCAGGTGAGAGGCTGCGAAAGGGGAGAGACCAGTGTTCATCCACCAGCAATGTGGCTAAAATAAATCCCCAAGTGTTAGCTAAGGAATGGGGTTCCCACTTCTATCTTTGAAACCAGGGAAATGGCATAAATGCAGTCTGGAGCACTAACTTCTCTCTATGGAATTAGGACTCAGTAATATCCCAGGATGAGCCATTATCTCCCCTGCCACCAGTCGGGCTGCAGAGTGAATAGCACTGAGATGCTGTCTTACGCCAAAGGTACAGGAATTGCTCTAGATCTGTTTTTTTGCCCCCCCTCTGGAAAAGATCAGGATGTTTAATCCTAAACAACTCAGCTAATCCCTCTGATCTAGAAACTTTTCTAGTCTAGTGTGTGGGTGAAAAGTTAGTGCAGACTTTTGGGGTTCCAGATTTGTTTCCCAATCAAGTTTTGAAATTTTTGAAGAACCCTCACCTAGATGAGCATATAGGGTGGGGTTTCAGTAAACTGTTTTGAAAAGGACAGTGGAGAAAAACAGAACATTACAGTAGGGAGAACAAAGCCCTTTTTTTTTCCAAGTTTTTTTTTTTTTTTCCACCTGAGAACTCAGGTCTTGCACAAGCACTCTACTTCTTGAGCCACACCCTTTCCAGCTCTTTTTTGCTTTACTTATTTTTCAGTGTCTGGTGGTTTTTGCCCAGTCAGATGGAGATTCTCCTTATCCATGATTCCTGCATAGCTGGGATTACAGACCTGCCCCACCTCCTCTGGTTTGTTGGGGTGGTGGTTTCACTTTTTGCCAGGGCTGATCTTGAACCATGATCCTACCCAAATAACTGGGATTACAAGCAGCATAAGCCACCAAAAGCCTTACTTTATTAACCTGCCAGGCCCTGTACAGTCATCAGCTTGCTCAAATAGCCACTCAAAGGTCAGGGAAGTGTTATCACCTTCACTTATCAGATAAGGCAAGTGCTTTACCGCCCCAGCTATGAAAACTACCGGGTAGTATTCTTTTCTGAGATGGACGCTTTGTCCTCTGGAATTGCAGGCCATGGGCTTCCTCCACGGACTGGTTAAGGTAGACCTGGTTTAGTCTAAGTGGGCTGTTCAAATTGCAGTGGGGAGCTCGAGTTTTGTGGGTTTTAATTCCTTCAATTTGAGCGCAAACCTACTTTCACTGCAGAAACCCTGCAAAGTCGGTGGTGGGATGGCCGCACTTCCTTCCTTGGGTGGACTGTGACCCCGATTTTGCAGCACTCCATTTTGGGGCATACCCCGTGCACAAAACAAAGCGACGGCTTCAGGCATGTTCAGGGCAGCACGTGCGCCCCAAGCCCGCGCTCCAAGCCCCCGGGGGTGTCATTTTGGAGACCTGGCCGGGTACTTCGGGGCTGCACCCCACCCGGTGCGGGGGCCACGCGGTTCCCAGCCGCGGCCGTAGGGCCCCAATTTGGGGGAAAACGTTTTCCACGATCTCGGGCCGTTTCGGAGGGCCACGCCAGGCCGCAGGGGCCGGACGGGCGGACAGGCGGGACGGGAGGGACGGGCGGGGCGGACAGGCGGGACGGGAGGGACGGGCGGGGCGGACAGGCGGGACCGGCCAGGGCTCCAGCGGTGACCTCATCCGGCGCCCGGCCCCGGTGGGCAGCGAATCGCCGCGCGGGCGCAGGGAACGCCCCGCACACACCCGGCCGCCGCACCGGCAGCGCACGCGCCCGTGGAAGCTCCACGACTCGGCGGCCCCCTCGGCACGCAAAGGCCTCCGGGATCCCGGCCGCGCGGCCCCCGGCGCCGCGCAACCGCCGCGGAACCTTCTGGAAGCGGCGCCCCCGGAATTAGGAAGCCTGCGCCAACGCCAGCGGCCTTGGCGGCGGAGGGGGTGGGGAGAGGGGCGGGGCGAGCGCGGGGGCGGGACGAGCGCCGGGCGGTCGCGTGCGATTCGCCCCCGGCGCGTAGGCCCCGCCTCGCCGGCGCCATGGCTCCGCCTCCGCCCTCCCCCTCCATGGCGCCGCCCGGGCTCATTCATTCCGCGCCGGGCCTGCCGGACACCTGCGCTCCGCTCTCGCCGTCCCGGGCTGTCGCTGCCGCCACCGCCGCCGCCACCAGCATGTCAGGCTCCGTCGCCGACACGCCGTCCGCCATCCAAATCTGCCGGTAAGACCACGGCCTGGGCGGCGCTCCGAGTGATGCCGTCCCCACCTTTGCGGGTCCGCGGCTCCCATCCGCCGCTTGCGGATGCCGCCCCCCAATCCCCACCCCCGTGGATGCCGCCCTACCCACCCTCTCCAACCCGTGCGGGGTGCGGCGGGGGTCACCTCTGGGTCTCCCGCGCCGCCGCCCTCCCGGGACCCCCGCCCGCCCGCCCGCGGCGGGGATGCGCTTTGCGATGCTGCAGAACCGAGCGGCCCGGTCGGCTCCGCCCATCGGCTTCCTGGCTGCATCCCAAGGGCGGTGGCTGCGGTCACCGGGCGGTTTGGTCCAGGAAAGCGGGGCAGTGACAGGGTCCAGCGACGGGCGGGGGTCAGCCCTCGCCGTCTCAAGCCCCAGGCCTCGGAACCTCAGCCGAACCCTCTGTAGGATTCTGGAGGTTACTTCGGCCCAGGTGCAGGGCAGGTACCCAAGGCCATGCGAGCCCAGGAGCAGACGCCGCTGTGGGAGGGGGCCGCAGACCTACCGTGCCTTCGGTGCACTGGCTGGGTCGTGGGGGAAAGCAGGTGTTAAAAGGAACAAGAGACAATACTCTTTTTCCTCGAGGGAATCGGTGGGCCGTTGGGCCCGGAAGCATCGCACACAATAGGGGCCAAGGATTGTTCTAATCTGCTCACTATCGCCAGTCCTTCCTCCAGCGGGTGCTGCTCACTCAGATAGATGTGGGCGCCCGGAGGAAGCTGGAGGTGATGACCAAGCTTGGTTCCTATAGGTGGTGGGGAGGGCAGACTCAAGGTTACTCTGCGTTTCAAGCCAGAAGCAGAGGCAAGCTGGTATTTGTGGGCACACAGAGAAAAAAAGCCAGAGTGCGGGCACTGTGGCCTGCAGTGGGGTCTCTCCAGTCCGACTGACCACCAGTAGTAAGAGTTTGGGGGTTGGTTTCTCAATTTGGAGGTTGAGCATTATGCTGACCTTGGGTCCAGGCCAAAGCGGTCCACCTGAGTCAGGTATCTTTTCTGTGGATGTTGACATCTCCCTGGAAGGCTGGGCATTGTAAGTACTGTATAAATGGGCCTCCTTGCTCCCAATCCCATATTCTGGCCTGGCAGAGGCCATTTCCTGACCTCAAGGTCAGTTTTGACTTTTTTAGAGAGGTGAAATCTTTGGTTTGTTATTGGCTATGTGGCCCTTAGCTCCAGCACTCCATTCCCACCACAGGTAATGGAAGTAACTGATATTTGGAGCTAGGAGGGGTTTTGAAACAGGGCGGGAACCTTGGCTTCATTGTTTGTAGAAAAGCTCATACCTGTCTCATCTTAACTTGGTTTGCCCAGCTTCCCTGCTGTGTGGAGGAGGAAATTGAGGTTCCTGGGGAATTCAGTAACTCAATAAGGAAATCCAGCTCTGGAGAGCTGAAGAGGCAGCTCTCACCCAAGTCTTCTTTCCAGGGCTGTCTCAAAGAAAATACTTATCAACCTATCTGTGGAAAGCTGGGCTTTTCTTATTTGCTTTGTCAGGGTGGCTGGTGATCAGGCAGTCTGTATATACTGTCTTTTTTCAACTAGTTTCTAACAACTGATGGATTTTGTGTAGTTTAGACACTTCCATACATCCACATGCATCTCTGTATGCATTTTTTTCTTTGTCTTTTTTAATAGTAAAGTTTATACGGAAAAAAATTTAGTATAACAGAATAAAGTGGGGAGAAATGGAAAAAAGGAACATGCAGGAAGTGGGAGTAGAGACTTCTCTCCGTGCTTTTCCTTTCTGCACCTGCAGGGCTGCCTCTTGCTGTCAGATTCACAATTGCATGTTGTCCCTAAGTGGCTGTCTTGGCAGAGGGCTACATGACCAGGATGCCTGGCTAAAGTGAGCCTGGGGTGCAGAGCATGATTGTCAAGGGAGGGAGAGTGATAAAGGGGGCTGTGGTCACTCAGGCTTGATCCAGAGAAACCTCAGGACCCTGGAGACTGGACCTAATGTGGGGGAGCCCTTTAAGGACATCTGAGCCAATACCCACATTGAAACAGGAGCCTCCTGGCCTGGCACATCCAAGCCATGAATTTAACAAGACTTCACTTGACACCCCCAAGGAACAAAGCACTGAGAGGGACACTGAGGAGTGGAAAATTTAGTCCCCACCTCAAAAGGGTCGCAGTCTAGCAAAGTAAAGATGCAAAGTCCCCATCATCCTAGAAAATCATGGTTATTATGTGCTTTTAAGGAGTGGGGTGTGGAAGGCAGGTGTAGGCTGTAGTTACAGGTGGCTCAGAAGTACTAGGCCAGCGATAGATTTGACCTCTGTTTCTTGGTGCTGAGTGACCTAAGCCTGCTGCTTAAAATTGTCCTGTGTTGCTGGGCGCCAGTGGTTCATGCCTGTTATACTAGCTGCTCAGGAGGCAGAGATCAGGAGGATCATAGTTCAAAGCCAGCCTGGGCAAATAGTTTGTGAGACCCTGTCTCAAAAATACTTTTCACAAAAAGGGCTGGTGGAGTAGCTTAAGGTGAAGGTCCTGAGTTCAAGCCCCAGTACCACACACACAACCAAAAAAAAAAAAACAAACAAAAAAAACCTGCCCTGTGTCACCATGTTCTCATGGGTGGTTCTAAGTGTTAAATAAACGAATAGCCAGCACCTGGCCGGGTTGACACATTGTAAATCAGTGGAAACCCTTTATGTGAGAAGTGGGACACTGGCTCAGGAGGCTGACAGCATGGGTTCCAGTCCTAGCTCTGCTACTTGCAAGGTGTGTGTGCTAGGCCACTCCTTAACTTTATTCCGTAACCTTACTCCACCTTGGTTTTCTTATCAGTAAAGTGTCCTCTTAGGGTTACTGTGAGAACTGATGCCTTTGTCCCATTTCCAGCATGTATAAATAGAAAATAACAAAGGGAACCCTTTGAGAACCAGAACTTTCAGCAGGCAGGCCACTGCGGGTCATCATCTTCTCTTTTTGATCAATCCCAAAATGCTATGGTCAGTTCTACAACAGCCATGCCAATGAGGGGGCCTTGGTGACGGCCCAGCAGACACAAACTTGCAATGTTTTTAGGGCTTTTTCATTTGTTTGTTGTTGTTTTATTAAGACAGAGTCTTGCTGTGTAGCCCTTGAACTTGTGATCTTTCTGTCTCAGCCTCCCAAATTCTGGGATTGCAGGTGTGTACCACCATGCCTAGCTTTGGCACCTATTGGTGGGTGGGTGTGTAAGATGTATAGGGCTCATTCTACTTGCCCTACTCTCAGATACAGAACTACTGGGCAGTTCCCCAAGAGCAGGGATGCTTTGGACCATGTGGACATGAGTGCCTACAGTGCTGTTTGGGGTCTAGAAGAATGCCAATATATATTAGAAGAGTGGATGTGAATTTTTTCCCCTTGTGACTTTGTCTTTGTTTTTGTTGTGGAATTAATGAAAACAAAGAATTTGATTTACAGAAGCCACATTTAGCTAGTATTCTGGAATATTCCATAAAATGATGCACAATACAGGCTCTCTTTCTGCCAGGATGTGGGAGCCCATAGAGCCATTGATTAAGGCCTGTGCCTACCCCCCATCCAGCCTCACTGTGTGAAGTGTGCCAGGCAGCCTGGTGTCACCTGGATGTAGCACCTGCAATTGGCTAGCTCCCGAGTGTCATTCAGGCCAGAAGGTGGCTTCTCCTAGGGGCTGCACCTACCTTGGGGTGGGTGTGATTTTCCTCTAGCTGGGATCCCACCAGGGGTGACCCTGGAGGTGCTGCTTTCGCTCTCAGAGATGTCCTGGAGAGAGGGTTAATCGTGTGGCCCCTGACCCTGGCCTTCCTGCATCTGAATAGTTGGGAAAGCTGATTTCTAACGCAGATTTTCTGCACATAAGGAACACTCCAATGCAGAGTCAACGAAGTGCAGATTTTAAAACTTCTTAAATAGTCTCTTGAAAGCCGGGCAGTGTGGCCTTCAAGCCTGTAGCCCAACTACTCTGGAGCTTGAGGCTGAGGCTGACATTGGAGGATCTCTTGAGCCTAAGAGTTCTAGGCCAGCCAGTGAGGCCCCATCTCAAAAAAACAGTCTCACCTGCAGTCCCAGCACTTGACAGGTTGAGGCAGGAGGATCACAAGTTCCAGGCCAGCCTGGGCTACCTAGGAAGATACCATGTTGTAAAAAAAAAAAAAAAAAAAGTCCCTTGATAATAAATATTATTTTAAAATTGGTAATTTGTTTTGGGTGGTGCTTGGACTCATACGCACATACCTCACGCACACTAGGCAAGCATTGCCACTGAGCCACAACCCTAGTGTACCAGTTAAGTTTTGTTTTTTTTTTTTTTTTTTTTTTTTTAGGTTTTCTTTTGGTGGTACTGGGTTTGAACTCAAGGCCTTTCCCTTGCTAGGCAGGTAGATGTTCTACCACTTGAGCCACACCCCTAGCCTGTTACTTGTTTTTCAAGGTGAGATAATTATGATTTGCTTTTAATTTTTTAAATATTTATTAGTATTTTTGTAGTGCTGGGGATAAACGTAGGGCCTCTTGCATGATGAGCAAGCACTCTATCACTGGGCCCACACGCCAACCCTCAGTTTGCTTTTTTTAAAAGCTTAATTGAAGTATAATATCCAGATTCTAAAATGTAACTATTTGAAGTATACAGTTCACTGAGTTTGGACAGATGTGATGCTTGTGTCCCAAGAGTATTTCCATCCCCCCATCAGTCCCCTCCCCCACCTTGGCAATCATTTCTCTCTCCCACCACTGGCCCCTGGCAAACTATAGTGCTGCCTTTTCTAGAATTTCATTTTGATGAAATCATACTTAACAGGGCTTGTGAGCCTCACTCGTGTGCCTGTCGTGCTTCCTTCTTCTTTGTGGTCAGTAATTTTCCCTTCCCTGGACATCCAGCTGGGTTATCTCTTCAGTAGGCCATGAATGGTGGTGCCATTCTCAGTTTCTAGCACTTGTGAATTAGGTTCACAGATGCAGATTTCAAAATGTTTGGGACATAATTGAGGAAATGTGTAATTACTTGAT